GAACTGACCACCAACATAATAAGGTCATACAGAGTCACAATGTAGTCTAAACGGACCACCAACACTAAAAGGCCATACAGGGTCACACTGTAGTCTGACCGGCCCATCAACATAATAAGGTCATACAGGGCCACACTGTAGTCTGACCGCCCCATCAACATAATAAGGTCATACAGAGTCACACTGTAGTCTGAACTGACTACCAACATAATAAGGTCATACAGAGTCACAATGTAGTCTAAACGGACCGCCAACACTAAAAGGTCATACAGGGTCACACTGTAGTCTGACCGGCCCATCAACATAATAAGGTCATACAGGGCCACACTGTAGTCTGACCGCCCCATCAACATAATAAGGTCATACAGAGTCACACTGTAGTCTGAACTGACCACCAACATAATAAGGTCATACAGAGTCACAATGTAGTCTAAACGGACCACCAACACTAAAAGGTCATACAGGGTCACACTGTAGTCTGACCGGCCCATCAACACTATCATGTCATAGAGGGTCACAAGGTTGTCTGAACGTCCCTCAACACAATAAAGAGGTCATACATTGTCACAAGGTAGTCTGAACGGCCCATCAACACTATAAGGTCATACAGTGTCACATTGTAGACGGAACGACCATCAACACAATAAGGTCACACAGAGCCACACTGAAGTCTGACCGCCCCATCAACACCATAATGACATACAGTGTCGCAAGGTAGTCTGAACACCCCTCAACAAAATAAGGTCATAGAGCGTCACACGGAGGTCTACCGCCCCATTAACACAATAAGGTCATACAAGGGCACACGGAAGTCTGAACGTCCCTCAGCACCATGATGTCATACAGTGTCACAAGGTAGTCTGAACATCCCTCAACACAATAAGGTCATACAAGGTCATACGGAGGTCTGACCGCCCCATCAACACGATAAGGTTATACAGGAACAAACAGTAGTCTGAACGGCCCATCAACACAATAAGGTCATACAGTGTCACAAGGTAGTCTGAACGTCCCTCAACATAATAAGGTCATACAGGACCACACAGTAGTCTGAACGTCCCTCAACATAATAAGGTCATACAGGGTCACACAGTAGTCTGAACGGCCCATCAACACAATAAGGTCATACAGGTTCACACAGTAGTCTGAATGTCCCTCAACACAATAAGGTCATACAGGACCACAAAGTAGTCTAAACGTCCCTCAACACAATAAGGTAACAGTGCCACAAGGTAATCTGAACGGCCCATCAGCACAATAAGGTCATACAGGGTCACACTGTAGTCTGAACGGCCCATCAAGTTGGCATCAACACAATATAGAGGTCATACAGTGGCACACGGTAGTCTGAACGTCTCTCAACACAATAAGGTCATACCGGGTCACAAGGTAGTCTGAACGGCCCATCAACACAATAAGGTCATACAGTGTCACACGGTAGTCTGAATGTCTCTCAACAATATTACTGGCGAAATCCTTCCATATATAAACTTGTTCAGTTACTTAATGTTGACAATATCAGCGATCTTCGTAAACTTGCTAGACATATATTAGAGGCTGATAAGGTACGAGTGACGAAAAACATGCATATCAATATAATTTATATAAATGTCTATGTATGTATTATTGGCATATAGAATATGTTTGTATCATTACGGATTATGTTATTTATATAACATGTTGATGATGATGATATCATGATGATGATGATGATGAAGATGTGAGAGCGTTAATGATTTATGAATGCACAATAATGATGTGGGAGTGATAATGAGTGTTGATTACACAATACATATATGTATATATCATTTGTAATTTATTGTAAATTATAGTTATCCAATATGTTGTCAAACTTAAGGAATAAAAATCGAATTGAATTGAATTGATATCCTTGTTATGATGCGATTTATTAATAATAGCAGTGTTCAGTGTATGAATACGTAGTCTGAGCACCACTTTTGCAATTGTATAACTTCGCACACGGAAATAGTATTTTAAAAAACCATTATCTAAAATGTTCCTCGTCATTTTAATCGACGCTAATTTAATAATGATATTCCAGTTATTTCAAATATTATCTATATTCTTAAAATTGAAAACAAATGAACCAGATATAACAGGTTTGTTAGATATCGCGAATTTGTGCGGGAAACAGCTCGTGACCACACTGACAGGGACCTACGAATTGGTTACAGCTATACCTAGACTAATATGATCAGAGTAATTTTACACGTTTAGGGGTTTAGATCGACTTTCGGTAAAAATGACATCCCCAATGATCGTAATTATATACGAGAAGGGCGGAAAGCTCTCGATGTCGAAAAGTCGACCCCACCTAACTTTCTTGCATCAGAAATAACATTTTAGTTGATCTACGGGAAAATGCTTAGTACCGCTGGAAAGTTGGATACATTTTCTGTTAATAACCTCCTATATGCACGTAAAATGTATTCTCCTTCCGCGGACATGATCCGGATTTCAATGTTTCTCGCAGTCATCGTGCCGCATTTTCGTATATTAATGAGTGGTGTGACTGGCTGGAAGAGCAGTCATTTTTTTCGATTAACCAACCAACACTGCATGTTTCGGCACGCGCTGACCTCAACCTCATTAATATACTTTGTTTTGGTATCACACCCTTTATCAGCCTGAGACCTTGATATCAGCCACTCACGCCATTTCAGAGTTTCAAAGTTTCTCGCAGTCAACGATATAAATATATAATCTATTAATTAAAACAAATGTATTCGAAAAATTGTATTTTGCAAACTGCGTATTCCTTTATAGATAGTAGCAACTGTGTTAATTATGTCAAACATTGTCTTTTTTCTCTCGGATTCGCAGATGAATGGACAAATTACTATTCATATAACCATAAAAGTATTTTGTATATGATAAAGCAAAGAATATTTGATCAAAGTCAACAATATCTGAGAGGGCTATTGGAGGCCTCACCTAAATGTATTTTATATAAGCACTTAGCAAATCACCATATTCTTCAATACTATTTGACAAAGTATATTCCTATGAAATACCGAATCTGTTTATCTAAACTTCGTCTTTCGGCACATAATTTAGCTATTGAGACTGGTAGATATAATAGCACAACGAGAGAACAAAGACACTGTGTGAGCTGCGATTCAGATATTGAAGACGAATATCATTTTATATTGATATGCAGAAATTATCCTATTCTGAGAGTAAAATACATAAAACCGTATTACTGGCGAAATCCTTCCGTGTATACAATATCAGCGATCTTCGTAAACTTGCTAGACATATATTAGAGGCTGATAAGGTACGAGTGACGTAAAACATGCATATCAATATAATTTATATAAACGTCTATGTATGTATTATTGGCATTTAGAATATGTTTGTATCTTTACGGATTATGTAACTTGCATGGTGTTGTTGTTGTTGTTTTTGTTGTTGATGATGATGATGATGATGATGATGATGATGATGTGAGAGTGTTTATGATTGTTAAATGCACAATAATGATGTGGGAGTGATAACGAGTGTTGATTGCACAATACATATACGTATATATCATTTGTAATTTATTGTAAATTATAGTTATCCAATATGTTGTCAAACTTAGGGAATAAAAATCGAATTGAATTGAATTGATATCCTTGTTATGATGCGATTTATTTATAATAGCAGTGTTCAGTGTATGAATACGTAGTCTGAGCACCACTTTTGCAATTGTATAACTTCGCACACGGAAATAGTACTTTAAAAAACCATTATCTAAAATGTTCCCCGTCATTTTAATCGACGCTAATTTAATAATGATATTCCAGTTATTTCAAATATTATCTATATTCTTAAAATTGAAAACAAATGAACCAGATATAACAGGTTTGTTAGATATCGCGAATTTGTGCGGGAAACAGCTCGTGACCACACTGACAGGGACCTACGAATTGGTTACAGCTATACCTAGACTAATATGATCAGAGTAATTTTACACGTTTAGGGGTTTAGATCGACTTTCGGTAAAAATGACATCCCCAATGATCGTAATTATATACGAGAAGGGCGGAAAGCTCTCGATGTCGAAAAGTCGACCCCACCTAACTTTCTTGCATCAGAAATAACATTTTAGTTGATCTACGGGAAAATGCTTAGTACCGCTGGAAAGTTGGATACATTTTCTGTTAATAACCTCCTATATGCACGTAAAATGTATTATCCTTCCGCGGACATGATCCGGATTTCAATGTTTCTCGCAGTCATCGTGCCGCTTTTTCGTATATTAATGAGTGGTGTGATTGGCTGGAAGAGCAGCCATTTTTTCGATTAACCAACCAACACTAAAATAGACGTATCATAACCTTTTTATCACACATTTTAAAAACAAAACAAAAAGAAATTAATGTAACAATTCATCAATTTTAATAAAAATAGAATATCACCATTAGGGTAAACAAACATGAACACACCTGTTTCTGCCCGTCATAGCTCTGCACAATAAAAGGACTTTAAGTCAGAATCGGTCACTATTTGAATCCATGTCGCGTACTCGTTCTCTGGCCTTTTGATGTGGGGATCTGTTGAAGAATAGAATCCGGAGTGAAGAACCTGGATGAAGTGATATCGACCAACACTTGTATCACATTTAAGCAAATTTATCAAAATTTTGTTTAAAAAAGTATCATGATTTGTCCTCCATATATATTAAATTTGATGTTGTATACTGTGGTAAATATGTTTTCTCTGTTCACTTATAATTTTGAAAGTTGAAGACAACTTGTGACATTAACAACGTTTTATAAATACGTCAACTTCTGTCATGACTGAGCCGAAGGGGTACAAAGATATTAGACAAAGATTTAGGTCCAGGTTATTTTCTCTTCCCGAGAAATCAAAAGCATGAGGATAAGTTATTACTGGTCTAATGCAAAATATGTCTCTTTAATAAAGGGTACACGTATTATTGTTTAGGGATTGTCAGAATATAGATTAATGTGTTTAATGCGTCACCGCGAGAGTTATATTCCGGCGTCGTTAGGTACGTCCACCACGGCCAACCACAAACCAGACAATCGCTGTGCGGGAGGTCGTGGGTCTGGAGCGGGGTTCACTATATGGATCAGGCATATTTAAATGACAAAGATTTTGATTATTCTGAGGTTTTCGTGTCGCTTTGTGTCTGTCCTATATTTACAAAGCTATCGTTTATTGAAAAATCGCCCCAACACAAATATCATATATACAAACGTTTGTAGTCGACTGTTCTTTCATCTGTGTTTGTTATGAAATACACAATATTTACAATATGATTAGAAATGTAAGTCCGCATATGATCGCTCCGTAATACTCACAGACCAAACTAGTGTTTCATAGACCATACAGTACGTAAGGAGTTTGTTCTGTGAGTATTACGTAGCGATTATTTGGGGACTCGGGTCCTATTCCTTTTTAGATGCTGTACAACGTCCGTGACAATGTCCGTTGACATGGTGTTTGAACCACCCTGTGCTAAGCAGTGGGTTTATATGAGGTTGAGCGCCATTCGGTGCGGAACTGGTTTTCAAAAAAAGTGAATAGCTGGACTACATTTTGTATGGTTTCCTCAGATACCTTGATCATTAAGGCTGTACTTCAGAGATCCGAGGAAGCAGATATTGCAGAGTATATAAGGAAATGGAGGGAAGCCCCGGAGCTACCAGAACAACAGATAACATCTAATTCCGTGCTACTATATATTCATTATATATATACACACCGATTTGCCTAATACTCGGTTGGTTGGTTGGTTGATGGGTTTATAGACTCCTTTTCACGGGCGGAGCCCGTGTTCTGGCGTCTTGAGGGGGTAAGTCTCCTGCTTATAGGCCCTCGGTGATTCAAAATGAAATAAATCGCATGGTCCAGATGGTCTGTTAAATGAATGTTTTATTGAATGTAAACAGTTGTTGTTACCTTTTTAACACGTATTATTTAACAATATTTTACAATCTGGATGTTTTCCAGTTGACTGGTCCGAAGCAATCATTGTACCTGTGCATAAAAAGGGCGCTTTAACAAATCCTAATAATTTTCGAGGTATCAGTCTAATTATTTGTATGTGCAAATTATTTGCATCCATACTTAACAAACGTTTGGTTGACGTTTGTACTAAATATGATATTTTAACAGACGCACAATTTGGATTCCGTCCAGGGGTAAGCACTGTGGATGCTATTTTCGCTTTGCAAACTATAATTTCGGAAACGTTATCTGAAAGAAAGAGGTTATATTGTTGTTTCGTAGATTTCCGCAATGCTTTTGATTTCGTAGATAGAGTAAGCCTGTGGTGCAAATTAACAAAGCTGGGTGTTCGAGGTAATTTTTTGACTACAATTAAGTCTTTATACTAATTAGTTAAATCTTGTGTTTTAGTTAATGGCAAATGTTCGAACTTCTTTTCTAATAATGTTGGATTGATGCAAGGGGAAATGTTGTCCCCGTTACCTTTTTCTTTGTTTTTAAATGACTTTGAAAATGGTTTTATAGAAAATTGAGCATCCCATTATGATTTTGGGGAATTGAGTTTATTTCTTCTTCTAAATGCAGATGATTTAGTTTTATTTTCTGAGTCAATCGAAGGTTTACAAAGCCTCTTGAACAATCTAAGTATCTGGGGGTTCTGTTTAGATTTAATAACAAATTCAGTTTCATGGTTAAACATGTAGCAGAGCAAGGTCGTAAAGCGCTTTTTGCCTTACGATCTAAATGTAAACACGCTCATTTAAACATCAAAACTATGCTACACCTCTTTGACACATATGTGAGTAGTGTATTATATTATGACTGTGAAATATGGGGTAGTTATGAAGGAGTTGAAATAGAAAGGGTTCATATGGACTTTTGTAAAAATATACTGTGTATTAAAAAATCTACGTGCAATGCTTTGGTATATTTTGAGCTTGGACGACTACCTCTCGCAAACAATCAGATGCTTCGAATGTTGAAATATTGGTTTAAGTTGTTAAATTGTGAAAATTGTATTCTAAAAGAAGCATATAATTTTTTTTTAAGAAACTTGGAGGGAAAACCCGAAACGAAATTGGTTATTATTCATAAAGCATAAATTATTTGAACTAGTTAAGGCAGGCAGCTACCGACATCTGTNTTGCAATAGAAACGGGAAGATACAGGAATGTTGCAAGGAATAATAGATATTGCAGTAACTGTGACCTAATAGAGATAGAAGATGAATTTCATTTTCTATTTACCTGCCCACGTCATCTAGATCTAAGGAGAAAATATATTAAAAATTATTACTGGCAAAAACCATCTGTATTCAAACTTATCGAATTAGTAAATACACACAATGTAAAAGAACTGAATTTGTTAGGTAAAATTATTATTGAAGCTAACAAACGAAGGATTGTTTAACTTATAAGTTTGTTTTACGTAATTTTGTATTACTCAATCGTATCATGTCCATGTTTTGTTCGAACAATCTTTCATGTTTAAGATGGTAAATGCTCAACGTTGTTGTTTTTTGTTGTTGTTGATGATGATGATGATATAGATGTTTTCGATGATGTTGATATTTTGATGATGATGATGATGATGAAAGTGGTAATGATTTCAATAATATCGGTGATTTGTAAAAAAATGTACCAGTTTTATGAAATTCATGTAATTAAGTCTTGTTGTTGTACTTTGACGATGATGAAGAAGATGATGATGATGATGAGGATGAGGATGATGTAGTATTTGATGTTGATTTAAAGAGATGATTATTTCATTATGATGAGGTATAAGACGACGACGACGGCCGCTACGATGATGATGATGATAATGATAAAAGCGATGAATTATGATTTCGATGATGTTGTTGTTGCTACTGATTTGTGATGAATGTGCCAGTATTATGTAATTATATGTTGTACTTATATGAAAATATTTGTTGAAAATCCTATAAGTTGTAAAACTTACGGAAACAAATTGAACATATGGTCAAGCATGAACAAATATTTTATTTAACTGTATACTTTTAAATGTATCAATGTAATTATGATATATGGCACTAAAATAACAATATCGACCTGACTGACTAGACATGCATCGGTTTATTTTCTTTTTGATCAGGCAGCGATCGTCCAGTCTTCTCTATCATGACAGATAAGCATGCATTATGTTTATCGTAGAAGCTACAATTCAATTAAGCTATTTTCAACATCAAAAGCTTCTGACAACATGCACTCTGGTTTCAGGTGTCGCCCGAAGTTTCCAATTTAAAACAGCTGTTGCATAAATTAATAATGTTCAGAATATTTATACACCTGTATAAAACATCCAAAAAGGTGCTCACTCCGCAAACTTTCCCTTATTTCTAACAATTAACATACACAGGTCGAGTGTCACCACGGCTCTCATTGCTTATATTTGCCGACCTTAAATAAATCATTATTATTATTTCAATAACCCTGGTCACTTTTTTCTTTAAAAATCTGTCCAATGTGTAGTCAGTGTGGTCGCTGGGGCTGTGACATATGTAGACCTTGGTTTTACGTACGTGTCCGTTTGTGTATACCTAGCAGCGGGCACATGTGTGGACCCGTAACATTATTTAAACAATACACGCGATTAGTAATATCAAAAACGTCAATATAGAATTCTTATGTGTAACGGGTTTTAAAACTTCAGTCGTACCTGATATACATATACCGACAGTACAGAAGGCACCAAATACAATCAATAGGAAACCATTTATGCAGACTTGCAAATCTATTCAAAAGATTGAATATGGTATTGATAACACGATTAAAGTATTAATCCATTGAAGGGGGTCAATACACATACGTGCCAGTCTCAGCCAATGGGAGGGACTTTTACAGACTTGATTCGGCGGCTTCACCTGCTCGACACTAGCTACGTGCCAATCTGCTCCACCGGGACACACCGCTGTCAGCAAAATCCTACAGGTAAATTAGTTTATTTCATTTAATCAAAATGCTTCTGGTAATTTGTTTGCCACACCATTTTCATTTTCATATTATTCCATTTATCCGCTAAGAAAAAATGATTTAAGAAGAACAAAATTGACATTCCTTTATTAGTTCTGCTTTGAAATACGTATGTCCTTGAAATCGTCACATATCATAAACGGCCTATGTGATAATGCCATAAAGTTTTCTAACATATCATTGCTGAGATTACAATTTTGAAAACTGTAAGAACGCGCCTTCTTCTTAAAAATAATGATTTATTTGACGTTTCCAAAGTTTGTCATGCTAATTAGATATGTGATCACTCCCACGTACAGTGTAAATAGTCACGTGATTAGATACGCCGGCCGGCAAAAAATACCACTGTTTGCATTTCCGAAATTGCAGTTGTGATAAATGATCGGCACACTTTTATTTTGATTACACGAAACCGCAACGTTATTTCTTATCTTTACCGTAGAGGTGATCAGCTTGGTTCCGTAATGTGCGATGTATTATTTCAAAATGTTGTGTATATTTTTGTCCTTCAAAAATAACATGACTATTAAACTCAAATGAGTAACTAAAGTATGGTCTTCCTGTCAGCTCAAAGTAAACCGAGTCTATAAATACGATTCAAATAACGTATTGTATATTATAAAACAAGTTACAACTCGCCAAACGATCGATAGAGCGTTAACAGATCTTCAAATATTGTGTGGGTTACCCTCCAAACGAACGTTTCCAATGCACCTTTCCTTTTCGATATTTTACTCTAACAATCATTATTTTATTTTCGCGAATACTTTCCAAAATTATCTAAACTGACAAGATACAAATAATCCCGAATGTGCTGTCATTTCAGTAAAATTTAATAAAACGTATAGCTAACGTTATTGCAGAGATACCTATGCATATGCATAGCAGGTTTCAGTTTGAGATATATGGATAGGCATTTTTACACTCACTACCTACGACCGAACATAGTATATAAAGCTTACCACAAATCTGACCAAATGTCAGTAAAGACACAAGCCTGTACGCACATTTTGATGACGTCATAAACAATGGGTAATCTTTGTTACGTCATCGCTACAGTTTGGAATTCATCCGAATAAGCTGGTCTTCTTCGGAGTCCCCAGACATTGGTAAAGTATAAATCAGTACTTATTGATAGTTCTAACAGACTTCACTATCTTTGTTGATTCCCAGGATTTTTTGGTGCTTTTTTACAGGTTGATTTGCTTCGAACATAAAGAATCATGTCTTTAGAAGAACTCTGGAAGAAACTGAAAAATGGCGAGTCAAACTCTTTACTGAAGAAACACCTGACCGAGCCAATCTACAACAAGCTAAAAGATAAGGTTACTTACCTGAAAGGAACATTAGCAGATTGCATTAGGTCAGGTAAGATGATCGGAGCACTGCTTCATTTATCAGATAATTCTCGTCCAAGTTTTATCCTAGTTTTTATGCTACACAACCGGTTAACAGTACGTTACCAAACCAAGATGCGCCTATACTAGCAATTTAGCTAACAACGGTGTCGAAGAAGAGGTAAACAGGTAAAGGTAAATGATAGCCATTGCTGCCCATTTTCTGACAAGAACTGTACTACATTTTGTCATCTAATGTGTTTTGTCATTAAAATGTTATTTGCGATGTGGTGCGGTGGAGTTGCGATCTACGGTTTTAACCACTCCTTTGTGATCGTTTATGATCGCGTCGTGTAAAAAACAAGATATGTCGGACATTTAACTAAATTACAAAAGAACACATAAATTCAAACAAAACGGAGCAAACGAAGCTTACCCCTGTTTACATTGGCGGTCGACGTGTCTGCTGTTGAAATACAACGTCATGACTTTACGTTTCCAAAAGAATGTCGACTTTTCAAAAATGACATTGAATGCCGCGCGGTAGACAAATGATTAAGATATAAAGCACCATGAAAAAAATAATCATAAGATATCAACATACAAATATATTCTTTAACTTTCTTTCGAACCCACGGCAGCTTCTGCATCGACGGTTGCGCAACTTCATTTTACACGCAACTTCACCGAACAAAGCTGCTACAGTGTGGATGTCTGCGCATATTAATTACTTTTGACAATGCTAGACTAGATGGGTTAGCACCAACTTTCTTTTGACCTAATATTGGAGGCCATATTCTTTGCTGCTAATGAACTACGGTTTTCCTACCATATTTTACCATTTCTGTATAACGTTATATACAAAATGCAGCATTCAGTTGAGTCAGGTTCACTTGGAAGTTTTAGTTTGTCAAATACCAAAACGGAACAACTTATCTTATCAGTTAGTTAATGAAAATAACTGACAACATTTTATAACAGTTTTCTTCATTTCAGCTGTCGCTTTCTGAATTTCATCTCGACATTTTTTTTCCCATTTTCATAAATGTGATAGGGCAATTATGTATTATGCACCATACTATTTCCCGAGAATTCTTTCCGTTTAATTTTAGGTTTTGTTGAGTTTTGAAGCAATATTTAAAAGTATAAGAATATATAAGAATATAACACAAATAGAAATGTACAAAAAATACTCTAATGCTTAAGACTGTATCATTATTTTATGGAGAACACATGCCATTCACTTAGAATGAATCATACATATTTCAGGCTGCAACAATCTCGACAGTGGCTGTGGTATTTATGCTTGTGATGCTGAAGCATACGACGTCTTCTCCGACGTACTCTTCCCAGTCATCAAAGACTACCACAAAGTGGACGAGGTCAAACATCCTAACCCCGACTTTGGAGACATCAAGAACTTAGGGTTTGGCGATCTTGACCCCTCTAAGAAGTATATTATCTCAACACGTGTTCGTGTGGGACGTTCGTTGGCCGGTTACCCATTCCCCCCCACAGCTACATTGAAGGTATGACTATGTTAAATCACGTAACCTCACTATTTACGTTAAAATATTGCTATGGGACACTTCAAGGGAGGTCATTTGGTAAAATTTTTCAGAATATACTATATGTTTATTGTTCGACACAGTTTTGAGCAAGGCTGAAAATGTTCGAATTAGTTGTGATTCTTGAAATATTAAAAAAAAACCAGGAGTTGCTTCCCTTTTTAGTATCACCCCCCCCCCCCCCCCCCCCATATAAATCGACTTTTTTAATTTTCGATACAAGAATACAAGATACAAGAAACATTATTTAACGTCGCATATATCCAACAGAGAAACATTAGCACTGAAGCGGTATTTTTGCGACAAACATGATAAAAAGCAAACGGATAACAACAATTCATGCTATACACTATCACAGAAAGCTAGCACATAATCAGCGAGTAAAACATACAATTACATAGCAGCATATAATTAGATATCACAGACACTAAATTTAAAGTACTATACTAAAACGATGTAAAGTGATAACATCAATATAATTCAGCATTTCATAGGTAAAAAAGTGCGTTGGCTGTATTTATTGTCAAACATTAATTTTGTACACATTTTATTATAAAAAGTGATAACTTTGAGTATTGAATCAGTTTAGTTACCCTCTCATTTGTGAGTTAATGTTCTACAGGAGATTTAAAACCTTACCTTAGTTCTAGTGATACACTCACTGTATCTTAGTTCTGGTGATACACTTACTGTATCTTAGTTCTAGTGATACACTTACTGAGTAGTTAAACCTAACCGTAGTTCTGGTAATACACTCACTGTATCTTAGTTCTAGTGATACACTCACTGTATTTTAGTTCTGGTAATACCCTCACTGTATCTTAGTTCTTGGGATACACTCACTGTATCTTAGTTATAGGGATACACTCACTATGTGTTGGTTCTGGTGATACACTCACCGTAACTAAGTTCTAGTGATACAATCACTCCACCTTAGTTCTAGTGATGCACTCACCGTACCTTAGGTATAGTGATACACTCACTGTTCCTTAGTTCTAGTGATACTATCACTGCACCTTAGTTCTGTGATACACTCACTGTATTTTAGTTCTGGTAATACCCTCACTGTATCTTAGTTCTAGTGATACACTCACCGTACCTTAGTTATAGTGATACACTCACTATATCTTAGTTCTAGTGATACACTCACTGCATCTTAGTTCTAGTGATACAATCACTGCACCTTAGTTCTAGTGATACACTCACTGTACCTTAGTTCTAGTGATACACTCACCGTACCTTAGTTCTAGTGATACACTCACTGATCTAAGTTCTAGTGATACACTCACCGTACCTTAGTTCTAGTGATACACACACTGTATCTTAGTTCTGGTAATACCCTCACTGTATCTTAGTTCTAGTGATACACTCACTGTACCTTAGTTCTAGTGATATACTCACTGTACCTTAGTTCTAGTGATACACTCACTGATCTAAGTTCTAGTGATACACTCACTGTATCTTAGTTCTAGTGATACACTCACTGTATCTTAGTTCTAGTGATTGAGTCACTGAGTAGTTAAACCTTACATTAGTTCTAGTGATACACTCACTGTACTTTAGTTCTAGTGATACACTCACTGTACCTTAGTTCTAGTGATACACTCACTGTACCTTAATTCTGGTGATACACTCACTGAGTAGTTAAACCTTACATTAGTTCTAGTGATACACTCACTGTACCTTAGTTCTAGCGATACACTCACTGTACCTTAGTTCTAGTGATACACTCACTGAGTCGTTAAACCTTAACTTAGTTTTAGTGTACACTTACTGAGTAGTTAAACCTTACATTAGTTCTATTGATACACTCATTGTACCTTACTGAGTCGTTAAACCTTACCTTAGTTCTAGTGTACACTTACTGAGTAGTTAAACCTTACATTAGTTCTATTGATACACTCACTGTACCTTACTGAGTAGTTAAATCTTACCTTTGGTCTAGTAGTAATACTCTTACTGAGTATTTCCTTGAAAACTTCATATGTATAATAGTCAAACTGATGACCTTATCGAACAGTTAGTAGAGCGTTTGCATAAGTTTACGAAATATCCAGGTAAAGATAAAAAGTTGGTCCACGATGCAAGGGGGTGAACTCTTTTTAGGATTTCATGAAGAGTAGATTTTAACTACTGGGCATATTAATTTCTCTGTAAATAAAAAAAGTTATCTGTGTAGTAATTCACCATTTTGTAATAATATTTAAGACAAATTTACATTTATCTAGCTGTATCATTATAGCAATTTACATTGTAAATAGTGGACATGGTATGAACAACTTATCAAAAATTATCTTCAAAACCATAAAGTAATATTTCAGCTCAGGCAATCCGAAGAAAGTAAACCTGGGCCCGTATTCATAAACTGCTCTCATGTTCAAGCATGGATTACGTGCTCAAGCCTAGTTTCTTGTGCCGGTTATAAATTATTTAAGGAATGATTTTTATTTTTTCAACAGTTATGAGGTCANTGTAACAATCTTATTTTGTCAACGATTTGGAAAACAAATGAAAAAAACACCTTTTCAGCCGAATACTGTTTTCAATGTCTACATTTACATTCGACATTTTGATCGTTTGACATAATTTAAGCGAGGTATAAGAAAGTTGGCTGGAGCACAGAATCCATGATTGAGCATGAGATCGTGTTCCTGCATTGTTGTCATCATCAGTTGTCTCCCCTGTCAACACCAGGCGAAGTCATTGTAATTATTACGTCATATACTGTCTGTAAGTGTGTCTGCAAATTGTACAATATCTGTGTAGTATAGTTACATATTATCCATTTTGGACTGATGTATTCGGATTAGGAAACAACCTATATCAATATAATGATCTAAGGGGAAGAGCAACTGGATTTGATAGTGACATTTTACTAAAACCCCAACGATATACGTGGAGTTGTATTTTTTATTAGGATGCTTGTATAGACTTCCAATCAAATGTTGAATACAATACACTTTTAAACAGGACCGTATGGAAATGGAAGCTAGAGACAAGGACGCTTTCGAGACCCTAAAGGGAGAACTGAAAGGCACCTACTACCCCCTGTACGGCATGAACAGAGCCACACAGCTGCAGCTTACAGAGGATCACTTCCTCTTCAACGACAGCGACAGGTAGCCTGTTTTAACTTCTAGACTCTTCAGGCAGACTTACTTTCTAGTCTGTTCCAAACTTACTGAAGGAGCATTTATAGGTTAATGAGGTTACAACAGTCTGTTACCCACTCATCACTGAAGGAACTGTTATAGGTTTACTATATGTAGCACAAGTCCATTTCCGTCTTGAGGGAATATTCAATTATCACGGTAGGTCCCCATGTATATGTATGTTTGTTATTTGTGTAACTTTGTTTCTCGTTGGTCAGGTTCCTGAGGGAAGCCAGTGGGTTTGACGACTGGCCGGTTGGCAGGGGAATCTTCCACAACCCTCAGAAGACATTCCTTGTGTGGGTGAATGAGGAGGACCATCTACGATTTATCTCTATGCAGATGGGCGGAGACCTTGCAGCCGTGTACACACGTCTGGTCACGGTTAGTACATGTACATTTAACTACACAACGATCTCTTTTACAACGACATCAAAAAAATCATTTCGCAACCACTTAAAGAATATGTTTAAAAGGAAGCTTGTCCGTTCATGATACATTTCAAACATATTGTATTTTACCAAATATAAACGTGACGCAAGCGAGGACAAGAGGACACGGTCGAGTCATTTCGGTGCATATATAACAACTATTGTACATACGCTTACAACGTAGCCAAATCCACATCGATTTTTGTGGACAACTCGTACACATTTTACACCTTTACGTGCATACGCTTCACTGGTCATTTGTCTGATGAAGGTGACATTGTACATATCATACTAGTCATCGAAACGTCAAATATTAATTGTATTGGTTGTGTAAAAAGAACTTTTCATAATCCATACTTACCAACCTGAAGAAAATGTTTAGAAAAAGTACTGTTAGAAGTCACGATTCACTGACTGATAACAGTAACCAGTACTGTTAAGAAGTCACGATTCACTGACTAATAACAGTAACCAGTACTGTTAGAAGTCACGATTCACTGACTGATAACAGTAACCAGTACTATTAGAAGTCACGATTCACTGACTAATAACAGTAACCAGTACTGTTGGAAGTCACGGTTCATTGACTGATAACAGTAACCTGTACTGTAAGAAGTCACAGTTCATTTACTGATAACAGTAACCAGTACTGTTTGAACTCACGGTTCACTGACTGATAACTGTAACCAGTACTGTTAGAAGTCACGGTTCACTGGCTGATAACAGTAACCAGTACTGTTAGAAGTCACGGTTCACTGACTGATAACAGTCACCAGTACTGTTAGAAGTCACGGTTCACTGACTGATAACAGTAAACAGTACTGTTAGAAGTCACGGTTCACTGACTAATAACAGTAACCAGTACTGTTAGAAGTCACGGTTCACTGACTGATAACAGTAAACAGAACTGTTAGAAGTCACGGTTCATTGACTGTAACAGTAACCAGTACTGTTAGAAGTCACGGTTCATTGACTGATAACAGTAAACAGTATTATTACCCAATAGTCTATATAAATGATAATTAGTCATTTTTGACTGTTTCTATTTTCCCGGTCAGAGCGAACTGTTACCCAGCGCGAATTCGATGCGCAGGAATCCCCCCTCGAGAGCTCCCCTTCAAGCGTTTCGATGACCGCGACTCAGTGTTGAAGCAATGGCAACATTGCATGCAGCATTGATACTAATATTTATTTGGTAATAAAACAATTGTTTCATGGTTATTTGGGGAACAGTCAAAACTATCATCCCTCGGCAGGGGGAAGCCCTATGGAACTGTTTGCCCTTGGCCTAGCGGCCTCGGGCAAACAGTTCCCCAGGGCTTCCCCCTACCTCGGGATGATAGTTTTGACTGTTCCCCAAAAAAACATGAAACAATTGTATACTGTTAAAAGTCACGGTTCACTGACTGATAACAGTTACCAGTACTGTTAAAAGTCACGGTTCACTGACTGATAACAGTAAACAGTACTGTTAGAAGTCACGGTTCACTGACTGATAATGAACTGTTAGAAGTCACGGTTTATTGTCCGATAACAGTAAACAGAACTGTTAGAAGTCACGGTTCACTGACTGATACATATAACCAGTATTGTTAGAAGTCACGGTTTATTGACTGATAACAGTAACCAGTATTGTTAGAAGTTTCGGTTCACTGACTGATAACAGTAACCAGTACTGTTAGAAGTCACGCTTTATTGACTAAAAACAGTAACCAGAACTGTTAGAAGTCACGCTTTATTGACTCATAACGGTTACCAGAACTGTTAGAAGTTTCGGTTCATTGACTGATAACAGTAACTAAAACTGTTAGAAGTCACGGTTTATTGACTAATGTATGGCAGACTTTTTCTTCGCTTCATGTCTATAATTGAAGCTGACATATTATGTTCACAGGAGAAGTATTTACATCAGTGGTTTGATACCCTATATCAATTTTTAATTGAGCATGGCAATATTTTTGATACGTTATTATTGAGGAAAACCAAATCGGTGAACTAAAATTATTTTTAAGTTCTAAAAACGTTACATGTTTATAATTTGATTGATGTTGTCATTTTGAACGTTGCGTCTGTACAGGCTGTCCAAGCCATGGAGAAGAGCGGTTTGAAGTTCGCCCATCATCACAAACTGGGTTACCTGACCTTCTGTCCGACAAACCTTGGCACCACCCTCAGGGCCAGTGTTCACATCAGAATCCCCAAGCTATCTACCAACCCCGAGTTCAAGGCCTTCTGTGATCGCTTCAACCTACAAGCCCGAGGTTAGTTTATAGGTATTTAGCAGGGTTATCGACGATACAAGTGGAATTATAATTTCAGTTAGAGTGAATATTTTATATATTATATGTATTTTTTTTATACATGTGATAAAAGTCAGTATAAACTGTAAACTAAACATATAAGGATAAGTTTGATGACGTCTACTTTTTCGGCAGGTATCCACGGAGAACACACGGAGAGTGTGGGAGGGGTGTACGACATCTCTAACAAGAGGAGGCTGGGTTTGACCGAGATCGAGGCTGTACAGGAAATGAGGAAGGGTGTTGAGGCCGTGATTGCTGAGGAGCGGAAGTTGGACGGCTCAAGCGGGCCACAATCGACCAGCAGATTTGGACGCAAAGCATAAACATTTACAACAATTTCATAATGTGTCAACGGAAACTGATCTGATTTCATTATGAGAGAAACTTTGAGGGTGTGCAAAATCATTTGAGATTTGCTGCAATTGTGCCAATGCAGAACTTTTCTTTTTGTTTTTCAGTCAAATATTATATATATATATATAACGATTCTGGTGTCATAACTCTCATAGAGGCATTGACTTGTCGACGAGATGGTCGGCAACTACAATGTTCCTTGTCACTATGCGAGTGCAACGGCAGAGCATAAAACAATACGTTGGTCTTTGCTGTGAGTTTTACGTATTAAACTTTTGTTAGATACACAAAATTGCTTGCTTTTGTCTTCTTTGTACCCCGTTTCCCAAACGTTCCTTGACATAAGTTAAGTTTTCCCACCTTCTAAAGCAACCAGGTATCTACAGAGACAAAAACCTTTCAGGTAGTGAACAGATAACCTGCTATATATGTAATGATTTTTGGCAGCCAGAGGTATCTCCTGTTACAGCAGAACTATAAAAAAACCCAGGAAACAGCTAGAATTAATCATTTTCTCTATATCTGTTTTTTACCCTGTAAAATAGCGGTGACAATTAACTGTCAAATACCAAAATGACAGATGATAACCATCCTGCTCTTGTGATAAGTTCCGAAACACAACTAAAACCAAGGAAAAATAGCTTGTGAAAGTTAGGTGAAGCACTTAATGAGATATAACGATAGCAACCTTAGATATCCACTTACAAAATGGCCGACTTGTGGTAATGTTGTTTATACGCAACTATGGACAAAGAAGAAAACTACAAATGAAATCTGTGAAAGATGTCTCTAACACTTCCTGAGAAATAATGATGACAAACTTGAATTGTTAATTTCCAAGATTGCCGCCTCTCAGTCACCTTTTTCTTTCGATTAATCAGATTATCGCACAATTATGGACCAAGAGGACAATTTTTTAATGTAAAAAATAAACCTGAACATTAAAAGGACCGAGTTAAACCGCCATATAAAATTTAAGAAAAAAGCAGAAAAAACCTTAAAATGTTAAAATACAATATGGCTGTCCAGCTGACAGACATGTTATCTTTTCTTGTCAGGCTCAAAATGTAACATAGACAACTAGGTACCATGAAAACTTACATATCAAAATTTGATAAAGATCCGTCCAGTACCCAAAAAAGGTAAACAGAAATACCGATAAAAACCTAATAACCGTCAAAATCGAAGATAGCTACCTCTCTGGAAGCCATCTTGTTCCTTTGATCAGTATCAAAGATAACATACACAAATAACAATCTTTAAGGTTGGTCCATCCAAACAGGCGCAACTAAGGACCAAGGGAAAACGAAGCATGAAAGGACTATATGCACTAAGGGGTGTTTTTGGCCCCATGCATTATTCCCTTTATACTTATACCAATGGAATGTGCAAGTAAAGACCTAACAAATTCTGTAAAACTTAAAATGTTTTTTTGTGTTTGTCCTTAGCAACAGGCCATAGCAACGGGCCATAGTAACATATTCAGCTCTGGTTTAAAAAGACAACATTTTGTGTTAAAATTAACATTTTGAACTCAAAATTTCATGTTCCTATTACAGCTGTAATATTTGTTATCTTAGACTAACAGTTTCTTTTTATTTATTCAGAGATAAAAGAAAAATATAATGATTTTGACCATAGCAACAAGCATCTTTGCATAGAAACTGACATTATTTACGGCTATTTTACATACAAATCACTACAATATACACATATTTGATACATACATTCATTTTCATTTACATCCAGAAAGTTAACTATATATTGTGTAATTTCCATTTAATTTTAGTGATTTTCCAAATACAACATTTTGACCATAGCAACAAGCATTTTTGCATAGCAACTGACATTATCAAAAAGAAGACCAAACGACAAATATATAGTTAAGGATTCTTTAATTGTTTTAATTATTGGCAAAGTATGGTCCTGGCTTCAACACATAGAAAGATGAACTCTGGGAACAGCAGCTCACCATATTAAATCGGTAAATATTTTGATATAGGGTACTGTTAAATGAATTTAAAATCAATTGTGTTACTGTTGGTCAAGTGAAACTCCGCCTCTCAACAAGTTGTACTTCATTTGATTAACAGATTTACTGGATGAATGATTAAATCTCATTATTACTATATTTTAAATACAAATCACTACAATATACACTTATTTGATACATACATTCAGTTTCATTTACAATAAGAAGTAAATTATATATTGTGTGATTTCTGTTTGATTGTAATGAACTTTACAAAACCAAATAGTGCATTATAAACATTTTGATCGCAGCAACAAGTATTTTTGCATTACAACTTTCATTATTTACATCTATTAAGCATACAAATCACTAAAATATACACATATTTGATACATACATTCATTTTCATTTACAATAAGAAAGTTAACTATATATTGTATGATTTTTGTTTGATTATTGTGGTTTTCACAAAACAAGTACATGTAGTACATTATTAATAAATAAGAATTGCTGCAAGTCAAAAGCAACTCTCATTTTCTTTGTATTTAAAGGAGATTAAAGAAA